TTGACAGACACAAAAAACACACATTATTTTAAAACCAATACATTCATCAGAATTTGAAAGTTGAGTGTAAATAGTAAATACAAAATAATTTGTACTCATGATTGTCTGAAAATAGAATTTTAACAACATTTATCAACATCACCAATATTACAAATAATATTCACAAATTATTTTTCTGTTAGAAATTCATATACATTTTTCTCTTCATAACTAACATTTCAAAATATAATCGAAGAATTCTTATACGTTTTTCTACCTAAAATTTTCAAATTGCTAACTTCACAATTCACTGAGCTCAAGAAGGACTTCTTAATCTCTACAACCAGCTAAAGATTTTTAAACCTTTAAAGGTTAAAAGATATACTGTATAATTTATGAGTATAATACATGTAACTTGCATTTTTTTAAACGGCTACAAGTGTTTAAATACCTAATTCAGATAGACCAAATTTTTTTTAGTCGATTTGGTCCTTTTTACCATAACTCTAAAATCAAAATTGACTAAATGACAACGAGTTAACGTTTGATTAAAATTATTGAATTTTTCAACAATCATACTAGAATTTTATTAATTATTATGAAATTTCAAGTAATGTAGTAAATTTGGTTTATTTTATGAATGGCTACAAATAAAATAATCATAGAGATTACAAGTAATAAGCCCCTTGTATCACGGAAAATAACAATAAATGATAAAATTAATAATTGAAATTGAAACTTTAATGAAAGAAGTTATGAGATATAATTCATGTCAGTTTGTTTAATCTTTTCTTAGTAAATTAAACATTTAATTTAATTTATGTTAATTAATTCCTCAAAATTAAATTTAAATGATTTAATAATGTCTACAAGCCTATACGGATACAAAAAAAAATACTTGAAATTTCATAATAATTTATAAATTTCTTGTACGATCGTTGAAAAATTCAATAATTTTAATCGAAACTTTAACTCGTTATCATTTAGTCAATTTTGATTTTGGAGCTATGGCCTATGGCCTATGATAAAAAGGTCTATCTGAATAAGGTATTCAAAACACTTGTTGATGTTTAAAAAAGTGCAAATTGTATTGCGCATGCGCACACTGAAAGATCTAAAAATGTAAAAATAATCAAGAAATGTGTATTTATTTTATGTATTCCCTATCTCCTCCCGAAAACCGCATATCAATCTGATGTCACTGGACAGAATTATTTAGTGTTACCTTTAAAAATAAACACACTGTATATATCCACAAGACACATAGGTTGTCTTACACTACTAAATTGCACTTTCCAGTTTCCACTCATTACTATATAAATAGATACTAATTACTAACTCCGTCGAGGTTCATTTATTTAAATCAGTGGTTCTCAACAAATGTGTTGCGAAAAAAAATTGGTAGTTATAAAAGATAGCGATAAAAAATATAAATATATCATAATAATAGTAGCAAAAACTATTTTTTCTATAAACTGTAGTGGTTATAAATAGGTAGGTACTATTCAAATTATAATATTATACATATAAAAAACATGTTACCTAGTTAGTTATTGATTTGATATATAGTCACTTTGTATACTCGTACATCGTAGGTATTATAGTACCTAATTATAATAATTAAAATGTTGTGTCAGATTATGATCCATTTTTTTATATTATGTTGTTTAACACAATAATACAACAACAAATCAATTATGTTATACCTAGCTATGTATATAATACTAGCTGACCCGGCAATGCTTCGCTATTGCAAGATTTCACAGATATTAATTTGTTATTTATTTTCTGGATGTTAAATAATTATTTTTACTTTAGACCATTGTTAGTCACGTCTCCGCAGTAATGTAGCCGTATAAATTTAGCGTCGCCACCGAGGATTCTTCAAAATGTTGAAAAAAAGTTATATCGCTTGTGTCAATAGAAAAATTGATGCTTATTGGAAATTTTTTTTTAACAATAGATTAAATGTACGAAGCGCTAAAATTAGAGTTCGTTTACTATATACATTTTGTAGGTTAACTATGGATGGAACAAAAGATATAAATTATGCCAGTATTTTGATAATTCAAAGACTTAAACAATTTCTTTGTAAACGGCGTTATCAACTTTTTTTGGATCGGGGGCAAAAATATACAAATTAAATTTGACAGGGGCGACCGTGAGAAAAACATTGGTAGGATATTATGTTACATTATATTATTTTATATTTATATTATATTATTACATTGGTATAGGATATTATATCATATTATTTTATACTATTATTATCGTACCCCACGCTAGGTAAATACTCTATATGAATAATATTTTTTATTTTTATTTTGACTGTGGCTACTCCGATGAGCGGCTATAAGTGCAACTCAATCATCTTAGCAAGCAATTTGTGAAAATTCGATTAGTTATTAGTTATTTTTTACCAATAACTAAAACTAATGTAACACCATTGATTATGAATACTAATAATAGATATTCAGATAAAATTGTTTTTTTTTTTTGCTAAACTAAATACTTATAATAATTGTTTATTATTCCAAGTCGATACCGACCAGCTTAGAAGCATCTGTGGTTGTCGAGTTTGATTGTTATTTATTTTCTGCCAGCGACTATTTCCTACTAAAATAGGTATAGGTATACAATTTGCACGTTTATTTTAATTAATAATAACTAATTATTTACTAACTTTATCGGACTAAATGTATGCCTAAAACCTTCTCTGCGATGTCTTCATTAATTTAAAAAAAACTGCAAGACTATCCAATAAGTAGTTTTGGAGTTTACACCGAACATACAAACACACGCTATCATTTTATATATTAGTATAGATAGATATATAATTAGGTACATAAAATATAAATATTATATAGGTATTAATATACTTTTCAAACTTCTCCCTTCAATTTTTCACCTACTTCACTAACACTTTTTAGGTAGCCATTATTCTATTATGTTGACAGTTATTTTGTTTTTTAAGAACCACGGAATCAAGGTGAAACGCTTGCACTTCAATATTGCAATTTGCATAACTGCCCTTCGACCTACTTTTTTTTTTATAAATATCAGTTTTTACTGTTTTTTTTTTCTCTGTTGGAATATATTTGTCCGTGTACGAACAGATACTAGTGAGGAGAAGTTACACATAATATTTTTGCCAGCTTTATAAATTCGTTCGTGTGCTATTCTCAACGCTTTCGAGTTTAGAGTAATACGTCAATACACTCTACATCACTGTCAGAATGCATGCATCTGGTACTTGTCAGTAGTCAGTATATAGTTTTTATATTTTCAACAACATTTGTAGGTAGTAATAACCTAAGGAAGGCACATTTAAAAATGTAAAAAAAAATACTTATCAATTATTGATACTATAAAAACTAATTTTAAAACGTTATTTAGTTGATATTTTGTATGAGATTGAACATTATAATACAAAATTAAATAACAGTATGCACTTTTGTTAAAAACCATGGGTGGATCCCCAAATCTGAATGATGGGCGCTATTTAAAATCGTTTTTTATAATTATTTTTAGTACGATTATAGTATTATTAATACTTTTTAACATAATTTATAGTCGATATTATATTATTACTATAAAATATTAAATGTTTTCTAGTGAACGATGCGGAAGAATCTCCCTAGTTTAAAGGTGTATAAGATTCTAATCATCTAAATTAATTAATGAAATTATTATTATACTATACTACTATTTAATGATTACCTATATTTAATTTTGAATTGCACTACGCTAGTACATAATGCAGTGTTACCTATGATATACCTACCTATAATTTATTTTATAAGTCACTACTCACTACATACTTAATTTAATAAATGCCTACTGAGTTCCAACTTCCAAAGATCAATGTCCATTATTTATGTAGGTATTAAAATATATTATATTTACCTTTCGATAGTACTATAGAAACAGTAATGTTAGCATCTTAAGCGTTTTACACGTTTTTTATTCCATTCATACACATAAGTCGTACAATGAATATTATATAATATTATACGCATTAATAATTCATATTTATAATTCAGAAATTGAAAGAAGAATAAAATTATTACAATTGTTTGAGTACCTTACTGTGGCTGAGTTCCTACTTCCTACCTAATACATTGATGAATATATATATATTTGTGTATGTGTGAGTAAATATAATATGGTACATAATAGGGTAAATATTATAAAAAAGTGAGTGCAATAACGGATGAAGTCAAACTTCTTTACAGAAGGTATGAAAAAAGGTCATCGCCCATCATGGTCAAATAATAAGTTTGCATTGGAAAAATAAAAAATAAAATTTTGAATTGAAATTAATTTATTATTTTATTATTATACAAGGATAAGATAAATGGATTATTATTTATAACCACAGTAACTAAGTGTCGAATAAGCCACGCCCGTAACGCTTTTTGGGCTTTCTGAGCCCATGTTTCCGATTTAAGTTACAGCGCCAAAAGAAGTTTAACTTCAATAATATTAATATTTTATTCTAGATATTTTACAGCTTTACAGTATAAATATATGATTACAATATGAACAAGCTATACAGCCATACAGGTTTTGTTCATATCCTATGCTAAAATAAAATTGTAAATGTAGCATTACGGTGACGCTAATCCGAGCGATGAGAATTTTTTTAGACCTCTGACCTAGAGATTCTATTGGACTGAACTCGAGTAGTCGAACCCCCCCCCCCCTCCCCACCGAAATTGAAACGTCATTAATGCAGTCATGCCTATAATATGATATCGTAGTCATGACATACGTGTATTGTGCACGAGTAAAACGCGTAGATACAATGCCATTCAGCTCCGTTTTCGTATTATTATTATTATTATTATTATTATTTACTATCAATCACGGCGGCGTCGACGCCTTATCATAAGCGCGCGACGCCGACGCGCCGACGACATCGCGACTGCGCGAAACGACCTCCACGTCCGCGGCTGGACGGGCTGGCCACCAGCCCACCGCCAAGCGAAAACGCCCCGTTCTGCCGCAACGTACGAATGTAATGAAACGTTCTACTACAGTTCGCAGTGCGGAATTGGACGCCCATTACGGCGTATTATCGAAAACGGCAATGTTTCGTTTTTATTGAAATAATTGTAATATACATGACACACGGCGACGTGTATGTTTAACATATTTTTTTATTTCGTTGTCCGCACTCCGCAGCGCCATATTATAGCTACCGTCAAGGCTGTCCCTTTCTCCCGCTCGTCATCCGCCGCCGCCGCCGCCGCCACCACCACCACCGCGCGCGCCGTCCGTCTATAATATTAATATAATACGCGACGCGGCGCCGTATCATCGACATCGATGACACGCGACTTTTAAAAGTTTTTTCTTCTTTATCAAATCCAACTGGTGACAAGGAAAAAAATAAAAAATAATAATAATAATAATAATAATAATACGCGACTCCGTGGTAGGCACGAAACTACGGAACCGTCTGGTGGGGAGACAACAACACACGGTGCAAAACTACCAACTATACAGTGATATTATACATTATTGTTGTTACGGTACACCGTTTACGACATTCATTCCGTCTCCCGTCCGAATCAGTTGTGGTGCGTCACCGCTGCCGCCGCCGCCGCCGCCGCCGTTAATTATGTGATAATCAATCGACGACGTAAAACATTCGAAGAATTTTCCCAAAGTTAAACACTGTATACCAGTGTTCCGCTTTTTGCGTATCACATACACACACACACACACACACGATAACGATAAATATAATAAAATATTCGTACTGTGATTAGAAAGGAAGTAGTCAGTGAGAGTTTAATATACGACATATATATATATATAAATATAATTTATTAATTTTTTTTGTAATTATTTCAATAAAATTTTCGTTAAAATTTTTTCTTTAAATATTTATATTTTTAGTTTATTTATTTTTCACAACTTTATCGTTCCTACATTAATTCCGTAACTCACTTAATAATAATTACATAATATTAATACAGTATTACATTCACGACGGACTCCGGCGGAGAGACAGCTTGTAGAAAAACCCAAAATCACGTAAGTAAGACATTGCCTACTTAAATATCACCGATGTATTATATGAATGCCTATATATGATACTATTTTACCACCTACTGACCCAATTCTGGCTACTATCTCAAACGATTTGGTCGATCGATTCATATGATCTCATTCGCGAATTTGATAAAGTAGGTATGGAAGGCAAAGCGCATTTTGGCATATGTTAAAATCATAATTTCGTAGTACACTGTAGACGCTTATGTCTTTGTTGGATTTTTTCAGTATAGAATCGACTTTTTTTTCAGGTAGTCCAACCAGAAATGGTTTTTTTTTTTACCTATCTTATCAGCTGTAATTACAATTTTTTCTTATTTTAACACATAACATTTTTCTACTTTTGTACAGCATGTCTCTCCGGGGAGGTGTTAGTATAATAATTAATAATTAAAAGTGTAATTGTTACAACAGTGGAACTAACATGAAACAAGGTCGGTTCATCTGTCTATACTACGCTGTGGTGTTTCAATATTGTTATCAGTTGGTCAATAAAATATATCATACTGTAGTATCTGAGGGTCATACAAGCAAGTTTATTTAATTAAATTACTTATTATCTACCTATCTAACCTAAATATATTTCAAACATTTGTCCTGTTTTGCTCAAATAAATAATCCACCTATTATTATGACATGAGTAATCAAGCAATTATCTGGTTGGTCATAGTCAATTTTATAATACATAGTATCTATATCAGAAGTATTATTAAAATAAAATAAAATATTCTAATGAAATTACTTTCAATAGTCATAATCCAGTGGCATATCCAAGATTTTGCTTGGCGGAAATGGGCACTACGCTGAAAATATTTTCAAACATACCTAAAATTTAGCGGAAAAATTGAGTTCTAAAAAGATTATGGTCTCATAAGGAAAGGTTACATTAAATGTATAAATTAAATTTTTAGGTGTTAATATGTATTTCTGAGAATATTGTTAGAATATTTATTGAAGTGCCTAAACGTAGGTTTCAAAATATTTGTTACTCTGAGAATTTGAGTTTTAAATGTAGATAGGTAATTCTAAAAATATGACTGTATAGCTTTAAATTATTTATTGTATTATAACTGTTTATTAGAAAACTTAATTATTGTAGAAAGAAGACACTATACACGCATGTGTTGTCTCAATCTTAAAAAATGTAATATATAGAAAACACTATTTTGCTTAGAAAAGAATCGAGAAGGGTGCAGTTAATACTAAGTTGCACAAATTACCCCCCATAAAAAGGAAAATTTAAGCTGTGAAATATATTATTTTTTTCAATATTGGAACTAAAAAAAAAGTTATTCATGTTTGAAAAACACACAAATAATCGATTTTAAAGCAATACAATTTTTTTTTTTTGTATAAGTGATATCAAAAAAATAAAAACAATATTTCTAATTAACTATATTGTTTATCAATTTGGAGTCATAACTACCACTACAGCTTGCATGGTTTTATCCTGCTGAAAACAGTTTTTGCTATGTCTGTACATAGCTACTTACATTTGTAAGATGGAGACAACATATGCAAGTGTAGCATCCTCTTAACTTATAAGTAAATGTATTATAAATTGTTGAATATAATTTAAGAATAGAAAATATTTTGACTTTGGTTCAAACAATATATATACATGTTTTGTGAAATAATATTAATTAATTATTTTGTATCTCAATTTCATTTTTAAAAATTATCCTTACATTAGATCTTATATCTAAGTCATAGAACCTTCATAACTTGTAACATATCTCACCTATAATTGTTTTTGGTTATTTATTAAATTAATTTTAAGTTCAATTCTAACCTCACCTATATTTTCTTTTACCTAAGATATTTAAAAGATCAAATATACTTAATAGGTATTTATTTAGTTAATTTATAGTATTATAGATAATATTTTATTAAATCACATTAACTGCTGATTTATTTGTATAGTTGATAAACAATTATTTGAAAAAAAAAACAATCATTTAGTAGTTAATATTATAATTAATTTAAATAATGTAGGATAATAACTACTTAATAATGTATAGTTGTTTATTGAAAATCATTATCTTTGCAAATTGATTATCATATCCAATTAATTTGGATAATTAATAAATGTTCAAATGTACTTAGATTAAATCAATTGTATTAAATTACTAATATTATGATTAAAAATCAATAATTTTTTAGTACCTAACTATTAACCACCAAAATATAAATTAGAAATAATGATTTTTAATAGAAATGTAATATCTTAATTTGAATGACATTTGGTTAAATTATAATTTAAGTTATAGTAACAGATTTTAGGTTCTTATCTGCTTTTTAAAAATAATGTAAATTGTATTGTGTTATGGGTTTTTTATTTTATTCAAATCCAAATAGAAGTTTGTGTTTATGCAGTATATAATTAATTTCCTGTACCTAAGTATGTTGTGATGTTTGTAGTTAATAATATTACTTATAAGTTATAAGTCTTAATAATAATTATATAATAGCCAAGAGAAACAAAAATACTTATCCTTGGTTATTTTTTTCTTATCAAAAAATAATTTTATTTTTAACATTCAAATAACATTTTAGGTATTATGAAAAAACTTGTACATTTTAGGAATTGTAATGCAAGACCTTCTATAGCTTGACACTAGAATAAATTTAAAAATTGTATATTTTCTTTATATTGTATTGTAGAAAATGCTGGCAAACAATACATATTGTTTTAATCATGTTAAACAATTTACCTAGTTCAATTACCTACTAATTACCTATTAATTGTTTATCTAGTTTATATACCTATATGTAGGTTTGTAGGAATTTTAAATAGCTCATTTTGTCATATGCTCTTAATATTATTAAACTATTAGACATATAGTCTATGCATAAACTAAATTATGCAATATATTTGTAAAATTGCAAAAATAAAAATTTTAAATATAAAACAATATATTTCAATATGTTAATGGCTAATGACCACAAATTATTTCATATAATTGTATTAGGTATTAACTTATAAGTCAATAGTGATGTAGCGTTGAACGTTGAGAAAAGGTTCTTAGTGTAAATACTTTAAAATTAATCTACAGGACTTCGCTTAATCTGAACAGCCGTTTATCACGCTAGTTCATGATGTAGTTTAAAATAAACATGAAAACGAGTTCAATTATACAACTATGTACTATTTTTTAGGTTTAATATTGTTAGATATATTTATTAGATAGACTTAAGTATTGTAAGTATAGTAAAATATCCAATACAATTTTTTTAAATTTATAATTTACGATTCTTGGTTATTTTGTTTAATCCGGACTTTCATTAATTCGGACTACCTAGAACCCCAATTAGTTTTGAAATAATTGTGTAAAGTAAATAATAATTCACTGGTTTTAGTGGTTAAATGTTTCAATTCTTTAGAAATTATATTTTTGTATTACAGTTAAATAGACTAAAATCATGGTTTCTCCCTTCAATTTTTCCGTCATGTGAACTTACAATTTTATACATTTTTTTTTGTATTGACCATATATTTTAAACTCCATAAAAAAATGTACCTTTTTGTAATTTTGACGCATTTAAAAAAAATATATGAACTTATAACACTTATGAAAAGAAATGTGACTATTTTTGATATTTCTGTAATAAAAGTCTTATGAGGAACTTTTTATTACATTCTGAAGCTTTTTAGTAAGAAATAAAATATTAACAACACGAATCAAAAAACAACTTAAATAGTACAAACAGAGCCAAATAAAATGTTTGAAATTTCATATCTTGTCAAGATAGTAATATAAATATTTGTTGAAATTTTCAAAGACTACATTTAGTTATTTCTTTATAAGTTACAAGATTTGGTACCTACTTAAAATTAAACAACATATATTTTGATGTTGAAATATTTTTGTTGCTCCAAATTATAAAAATCATTGCAAGCTTTGATTTGTTCAGAATCTATGAAGTCTCAAAATAAGTAAAATCTTAAGTAAAATCTAAAGTAAAATCTTTTAATCTTAACTTATACCTTATTATTTAGAAATATGTTTAAAATATGTGTCTTACAAATTCTCTCCTCATGTATATTTAACACTTTAATATATATTAAATCCTAAGCTTAGTTCATTATCATAAAAATAATTATTTTGTATAAACTATAAGTACAGTTTATTGGCAATATTTACAAATTACAATCTACATGTTATTGTGTCATAAATAGTATTTAAATCTTAAGTTTTTCTACTTAAATGATTGTTCAAAATGAAAAGTAATTGTTAGGTAATTGCTGAAATAACTGTTATATTATTATGTGTTTGGAAAACACTGAGAATATTACAGAATATTAATTATACTCATACCTACTCTTAAATAATTAACTAAAATTAGTATTCTTTTGTCTCAACACAAATCATATTGATATAATATTTAAGTCATTTATTTTATAAATTATTCTTACTTTCAAGTACATATTCTTCTTATTTAGTAACATTTAGTTGTACATCATAGTTTATTTATTGTGAGTTATGACTGATGTCTTGATGTCTGGCTTTCATATGTTACCTAATTTGTGATGGGATTTTTTTTTAAATTGTATGGTTTATTATACATTATTTGTATGTATACCTATTACACTTATTTGCTATAAACTATTCTTACTTAAATATTTATAAAATAAAAACAACAAAATTCAAAATTTAATGAAAATGTATTTATTGGTTATCCTTCTGCCACAAGTTGGTATACAATTTTTGGGTTTATTATCTTAACTCTGCTATTATAAATGATTATTGGGGTTATATAAATTACCAAAAAACAATAGATAAATGCTTAAAAAAAGCTCTTGAGCAAACAAACACACAAACTATACAACATAAACATGATTCCATTTTAACACCAACTTACTAGTATTATCTCTATAAATATTACTTATTTTACATAATTTTATTCATAATTGTCTATCACTGACTGTTATTACAATAATGCAAACGACAAGTTTTATCTGTCATATGGCGCTCATTATTTATAATTAATCTATAATCTAGCATAGTATTATAAAATATTGTATTGCAAATCTTCCAGCAATTATACAATATTTTGTGCTTTAAATTCAACATGCTTCTATGTAAATCCACAGTAATATATACAAATATTGTTCGAGTTGTTTGTTAGGTTGTTTAATTTAGTGATTAACGCTGCTGAGTTGTGGTATTATTGAAGTGTTGTTAATTGGTAACCTTTCATGATTTTATACGATAAAATAGAGATAATTCAAGAGTAGGGCAAGCTACAAAGCACAAGTCATACTTGTATTGCAATATAAAATTCAAAATCAATGTTGAATCATTTTGCAAGACTTAATTGAAATCACCAATTCTTCAGTTTTCCAATACTTTTTTCTTATTTGTATCATGCTTAGTTATATGACCTAGCTACCTCAAATACTAACTATGAGTAGTCTTAGCTCTCCATTACATTAATGCCTCTTGAAACTACCTAAGCACACCTTCTCTCAGAATAAAAGTAATTTATTGTAAAATAAATGCACATAATATGACTAGTTTGGAAAAATGAATTTCTTGCTCTGCTTCTCTGTTTAAATTATATATAATGTACGATTCGATTTTAATAACACTACATTTGGATATTACCTTGTATGTGGACCAGTGTTTTTACAATTATATAATTAAATACATGTGGTGTTATTAATATATATTTTTCATTTTTATTACTAGGTATAAAATAAAATCTAATTAATACTTAGTTATAATTTAAAATATATTTTTCTCTTTGCAGTAACAAATATATAATGGCCAACAGAGCTGTACCGCAGAGACCTAATGGCCAAACACCAGGAAAAATATGTCAGTTCAAGTTGGTTCTTTTAGGTGAATCATCAGTTGGAAAATCTAGTTTAGTGCTTAGATTTGTAAAAGGCCAGTTTCATGAATACCAAGAGAGTACCATTGGTGGTATGTATTTTTTAATTGCCTACTTCTATTTTAGACTCTTAATTTTATTATAAGAATAATAATTTAAATATTTAATGATTCTCATACTATGATTTATTTCTTTAGCTGCTTTCCTCACGCAAACAATTCATTTAAATGATGTAGCTGTAAAATTTGAAATTTGGGATACAGCTGGTCAAGAGCGTTACCATAGTTTAGCACCAATGTATTATAGGGGTGCTCAAGCAGCTATTGTAGTTTATGATATTACTAATCAAGTAATAATAGATTTATTCTTTTTATAACTTTAGATATTTTAATATATTAATGAACACAATTTTTCTTTACAAAGGATACCTTTGAAAGAGCTAAAAATTGGGTGAAGGAACTACAAAGACAAGCAACACCCGGTATTGTAATAGCCTTAGCTGGAAACAAGTTAGATTTAAATACAATGAGAAGTGTTCAGACTGATGAATCACAAACGTATGCCTATGAGAATGGACTGCTGTTTATGGAAACATCAGCAAAAACAAGTGCTAATGTGACCGAAATTTTTAAGGCAATTGGTTCGTAATTAAAAACAAAAATGTGTCAAAACCTTATTTTATTTTTACAATTAAATTTATTTAGCTGAAAAACTTCCTAAGAATGAAACAACTAATACAGCAGGACAGGGCCGACGTCTAGTTGAATCTGAAGGAGCTAATAAGAGCCTTAGCAGCTGTTGTAAGTGATACAATAAATCAAGTCAGTTTTCGTATGGATTATTGACATTTAATCATCTAATAAACTATATAGCTTTGTAAAATTATTAAGCCTCAGAATTATATTTATCAATTTGCATTTAATATATGTATCAATATATTATCTAATAATATATACAAAATGTTTTGTTTATTTCCATTATGCTTCTATAAACATAATGTGAGTGTATTGAGCCAACAAAATGTCAATATTGGCAGATGTTGGCCATGTTCATTAATAGTTAATACTTTTTTTCATTCATTCATCTTTTTTTATTAGCAATAAAATATTGTTTATATTTAAGGTTTTTTTTTTACTCAATCAAGTTTTACTATCAATTTTGAAATAAATAAAATATTGTACCATAGCAAGTCTAATAGATTTTGAATCTAATTAGTTATTCTAAACCTAAAAGTATACATTTCAATTAAATATTTTCCCAGTTACCTATTTATTGAAAATAAATTAGTTTAATGCAAAAACTATTGTACCTACAGCCTATCACAGTCATAGGCTACTGCCGAAGTGATAAGAAATTTAAACATTTTTTTTGTGATGTTTTTACCTGAACGGCGATTAGAATGGTGAAATCTATGCATTGTTAATACCGATTACATTGTTTGGTTACTTCTAAACATTTATGATAATTGTGATTAGTAAATTTTTGATGGAATCAGCCCTCAATAAAATTTTATTTATAGAATAATATAACTTGTATATTGTATTCTGTGTTACTAAAATTTAATCACATTTTATATTATATATTATTTTAACACCATTAAAATGTAAACTATTAAGTCTATATATATATACATACATATTTATGTACTAGCTATTTGTTTAATGGTATCTAAGAATTCTATTGTTATACATTTTATCCAAAAATATTAGAATTATATTGTAATCTACTATGTATATTTCTTAATTTTAGTTGCAGTTTAGTAACTAGGTTTGTGTAAATGGTGGAAGAATATAAAACAAATATTGTATTTGATCATTACAAAATCATATTTATTTCATTTCAGTTTATTATTATTATTATTATTATTACTTTTTTTTGAAGTGTTTTGTTGCTTTGATAAATTATTTTATTTTAATTATGATGGTATTTAGAAAAAATTTTTTGTATGAACAAAATTCCATTGAATATATGATTACAATATATAAATTTATATTAAAGTTAAAATGTATAAAAAATAATAATAATAATAATATGAATAACAGATACAATTGAAATGTATTGACCAATGAAATTAATGTATATTTTTTTAATAAAATGTTTACTACCCTTAACTACCCTATAAGTAGTTATATTTTATTTTATTTATTAAATGCACGAAATATTATTATTATTATTATTTTTATAATATATATTTATTATACAACTTAAATAATTAACAATCCATGTTATCATAATCACATTTATTTCTTTTTAATTAATTTGGTGTTTGCCAAATAAAACTGTAACAACTGTATCTATTTTAATAACTATGTTGATGTTCATCAGTAATAATAATTATATTATAAATAAACAGTAGTATATAATGCCACTAAAATGTACATATGATACAAAATTAATTAGTAATGCCAATGATCTATAATAATATAAAACATGAACATAGTAAAATAAATAAAGTTGAGCTACTAATAGGCAATAATTTTGCATGTGAGTTGTATACTATAGGTATAGTATAGTAGCGCATTAAGTCCAAAATTATATATATATTGTAATAGTAACTTAGCTTACAAACATCAAATATCTATGAAATGTTTATGATTTCTCATTTAGTATGGCATTATGTCATTTACCTTTCAGACAAATTAAATGTATTATTATTCATATGGTTTCTCACCATTTAGCATTAAAATTTTGATTGAATGTAAAAATTTATTTGACAAATTGTATTTATATATAATATAAACTTATGCGATACTAGTTATGGAACTATTATAGGGCCACATGGGTTTATATGAAAAATGGTTATGGTTGTTGACATATTTGGTAGATGAAATTAAACCTCAAATATTTAATTAAACATTTTCTCTATTCATGTACACAGTAACCGCACAATATATAGTAAAGTGCTTAGATTTTCAAAATTAAAGTATGAAATAGGAGAGAGTAGTTAATTTTTTTAAACTACTAATAATCACAAATGGATAATATCATTTATTTTTGTTTTTATTAAACCATAAACAATATAAATAAATACATGCGACAAAATTACAAAAATAATAATAATAATAATTATCATCATCAACATGTACCCCAATGTATTCTATTAAAATATTTTAATTTATTTATTTTGTATAAAACTAATTTAAAATTGTTAAAAATGTAAAATAAAAATATTAGCAAAAAATGTAATTTTAATTTGTTCTTTTAATACTCCTTGTGAAATCCCCACTAGTCATGACTCATTACTACCTGTCATTAGTAATAATAATAAAAGTTTTATTTATTTAAGAATATTCATGAAAAACAAATCTTTGTTATTCAGTTTTAGACTGTGCTTGAAACAAATATTTTCTACAAGTTTATGTTTACAGGGGGTAAATGAACATAAATTATATTTGGTAAAATATGTATAATCGGCAATAGGCATATCATTGAGTAGTAAACAAGATAAAACCAATTGTTTTCAGACTTACGTATGTACTTAATCTTTGTTTTCATTTATGAATGTATTGTAATATAGTGAATTGGTACATGTATCTAGATTCTAAGAACTATTACTAATTATGGGATATTTCTTATATTTTAAAACTATTTCAGGAACAATTCAAATAAAGGTTCCTACCTTCATTAGACATTGGCAGAGTCTTAAGATTAGTCAAATTATTGTTTTTTAAACATACTTACAAAAAAAAATATTTTGTTTGAAAATATAATTTGTTAACTATCCCATTGTTCATTCAGATGTAGGTACCTAAAAGTGTTATACGTAGAATGTAGATTGTAGATGTATATGTTACCGGCAATGTGGATAATCCAGTATTTTGCGAAATACCTAGGCATTATATAAAATGCCAAAAATCACTCGGAAATATACTTAATACGAGTTTTGCCTAGGTATATGTATAATACTCAATGTGGAGTAGGGATTATGACAAAAATAAACAAAATTGCAGGGTATCGCTTATTACCAACGACTTAACTTATAGTTTATTGTAAATGCACATATCGTGTCCGTGTGTGCACGATTTGATGCAATAAGGATTAAAATTCTGAAGTTCTGAAGCGGCTATATGCCAGAAGTCAGTTCACAGTATGTCAGAAAAAGCTACAAAGCTATTACAAATTTACATGGTTCCAACAGACACAGAAGTGGCGTTACGAACAGTTGACAGGAACTATTACTGGCCAATGATTTTTTAAATGTGTTTGTAGGACCAAGTGTCAAAATGAAAAGTGCATTTTCCCTAAAAATAATGTTTTGTGCAATTCAAAATGCTATTTTCTACAACATGTTGTAATAAGTAGCTAGTACTTTAAGTTAATGCATACATAATAGTATTTAATATAACAATAATATTAATAATATGGCAATACCTATGTGTAAAAACATAATAATAGATGTACATTAAATAATACATTTTGTAATGTGAGTAATAATATATAATAATTATAAGAATCTTAATATCATTATTATAATATGATAAATTGTTTTTTACTTTGCCTAAAAAAATTGGTATTTTACATAACGCCCAGGTATTTTATAAAATACCTAGGTTATACATAAAATAATATTGAAAATCATGTTTTATTTACATTGCCTAAAATACGTTGGCAATATACATAATGCCTAGGCATTTTTCAAAATACCTGAATTATCCATATTGCCAGTGACATATATACTACACACGAACGAGCAGTGGTGTTGTGAACATAAATAAACCATGATACTCAGCATATATTTCAGTACCTATCCACTCTATCCCTTAAATATAATAATACTCATAATAATTATTATGTGTCTGTAAATATTATAATTTTTGTTTTATGTTGTTGCTTACCACAATGAAGTATCCAACCCCCCCTCCCTCTAAACCAAAAAAAAAATGTCCACCATGGGATTTTAAAGTCAATAAGTATATTATCAAGGACAGGCTATAGAGACTATAACAGCACCTTATATTAAGTATGAGGTTTCAAGAGAGCTTTTTGAATTGTTCATAAAATCGGATGAAAACAAGTGCATTAAGTAAAATCCTCCCGAGAAAGGTGATTACGTGACAAGAAATATTTTGAGTGTAATAATCTGAATTTTGTGTCCTGAATGACAAAATAGAAATACCTTCCAATATAACTTGCTGCATATAATATTCTTAGTAAACCCTCACAATATATTTTCACTAGCGACTATAATTTTATTTTTTAACAAAAACTTAAGAATACAGGAGGAATGTAAGAATAATTGTCTCAATACTTTTGTATAAAAAAGTCTAGCCTGTTGGTTTTTTAAATTTTATTTCAATTGGCAAAACATAAAAAAAATGATAAATTATTATTCAATTTATAATAATTACAATCATAGACAAAAAAAAAAGATTTTTCAGTATTCTGTTGAAAGCTCTCAAACTAGACACTACACAACAGCTTTGATCATATTTTTTAATAACTCAAAACCAGATAAATTATTGTAAACCATATAAATGAATAATACAAAATATAATATACTGTAAATGTGAACTAGTGTAAGTTAAAGTATATGTAAAGAAAAAGCTAATGGCTATGGATGCCTAGGCTAAAAAATAAAAATAATTACAATTGCCAAACATACAAATTTTAATACAATAATTATTTATAGTTAAAATATTGGATGTTATTTTTTATAAAAATCGTTAGGAGTATATTTATAAATCTATGTCAGAAAGTAGATCAGATTAATAAGCTTTAATGCGGTATGCCATAACTACTTATAATTTTATTTTTGTTGGATTGTGTAATTGAATATCATCATATCAATGATAATGATTGGTATTAAAAATGAAACTTAACAATGCGGAAAGTGATTACCAAATTTGGTCAAGTAATTAAATGGTCATATTATTTGTTTTTATGTTGTTGTTTTTAAATTGTACCAAACATTGACAAGCTTATCCAACATGATCAGTACCTCAGGTATTTTAGTCGTTTGTTTAACATTTGTATCATTTAAGATATTATTTCCTATAACATTGGCTACTCTTACAAGAAAAGTTAAAAATAATATATAATAAATATCATACGTTTGGAAAAATATAGTTGGAGATAGAAATAATCGATAATTTCTCAAAATGATATTACCAAACAAACAACAATAATATTAATAAATATTTAGAATTTGAAACAAAGATTTACGCATTATTTTAAATTTGTGTCATTTACAATTATAACATGCATAAATATTAGATGTTAAAAAAATAAACTTTTTAACAAGTGAAAAAAAAATAAAGCCTTCATATTTACAGTTTATACTAAAATTAGTATGTCATGTTAGTGTTGTTGGTCAAATGTTATGTTATCATTTATGTCTTATGACCGATATATAATAGGTTTTTTTTTAAACTAATTAACATTTGAGATTTATGGCATAAAGACTAATGACTAATAAACAATAATTTATGAATTTTCAATTATTGGACCATTTGTATATAAATGTAAAAAAATTTTAATAATTAATATTGTTAATTAATTTGAATAAAAATAAAATATATTTTCAGTTTTCACTAGTAAATATTTTAATTTAATTAACTATTAATTATATTTATTTGTTGGTCTCAAGTTAAATATGAAGAGACATTTATTTGTTAGTCATTAATTGACTAATTTGTTTGATTAGTTGGTTGGTCATATAAACTAATAATCTATCTAATTATTGATCAGTTATTTTTCCTAACGACTAATAGTCAATATTATTGATTAATCAGTTGTACTGGTACTAATTATATATAAATATTTTCAATTTTAATAAACTTTTAATTTTGATATGTTTGGCTTGCTGATGCTTTATTGAACAATTTATGCAATACAGTATATTTTACATATTAAAAATACAGTTAAAAATCTCTTTACATTACAAAATTGTCGGGTACATGTCTATTTGTTTTCTTTTAATTAAGTAGATAAAACTCTATTTTAATGAATTAACATACAATGATTCATTATAATAAAATATATATCTATATTAGCCTATCTAGTTAGTTGCCATTTACAAAATATATTTAAAAAATAATTAAATAATAACTAGGACAACTGAGAAGCTATAGAAATTGTTAAAATTAACTGTCACTTATACAATCATTCATTTCAGAATCCACAAATTCCACATGAGTAAATGGAAAATGTCCAGTTTTACCATTAAGCTCTCCTTCCCACTGACCATTAATATTAGTTTTTGTCACTTTGATTATATCTCCAATTTCAAGTTTTAAAGCTGTCTTATCATAGGCGTTTGGTACACGGACTTGTTTAACTCTAGCTAGAGCTGGTAATTTTTTCTGTAAAGAAAAATAAACAATTAATAAATAAATACTTTACTTTTGTAATGCAAATTTATCAAAATAATTAACGTTAAAATATATTGATGATTTAAAAAAAAAAACTATTATTCATAAACAACTAAGACCTCATGCCCTTTTTAAATTAACAGGTTCACTGGTCCAATACAGAGTTTTTCTTTCTTCTAAGTTTGGGGCTAAAATATGCTTCAAAAGCTTGGTCATTATAATAATTAAGTGGTAAGTTTTTTGCACCTGATAAGTTAACTGGTTTATTTTTATTTAACCCTAGACATGTTATTTTTTTTCCACTAAGGCTTTTATTCAGACATACTCAGTTACTCCGATACTAAAATCAAGGGATGCTTCACAAGTCCCTTATTATAGGCTTATTTCGATTCTATCCCATATTACAAAATTAATTGAATCTATTGTAGTTAAAAAAATTCAACTAAGTGTCAACCGTGTGTTAATGTAGGAGCAACATGAATTCTGACCATGTTGTTCAACCACAAATCTAATGTAGTCTTTTGTAATTATATATTTGAAGCGTTTTACACTCATTCTCTAGTTAAAATGCATGATGTCACTTCATATATACTCCCCACTATTTCTGGTACCCCCCAAGCTTAAACAATGTTTGACTTCTAGTGTACATGGATGATGTAAAAATGTATTATTGTATCAATACCCTTAACTTAACTTAACCCTTAACTTTTTCTTTGAGATGAATAAACTGTTGTTCTCTAGGCTAAAAAGCTGGGATTGGATTTCAACGTTGCTAAATGCCATTTTATGACTTACACATCTTAAGTTCCTGGTTAAATTTAAATATGCAATGGAACAACTATCATCTTTTGATAAATTTATCACGGATCTAGGTTTGGTCCTTTGTCCCAGGCTTAGCCTTAATTAATATATTGAGAAAGTCTCTTTTAATATTAGGTTTTGTTAATGAGTTTAAATTAGTATCTCCCCTCAAGGTTACACTCTCACTTGTTAGACCAATTTTAGAATATGGCTCCATCGTTTGGGACCCTAATACTGCACATAACGCAATGCTTGAGCAAATACAAAATAAGTTTTTGAGATATGCTCAAAATTGTATGTCAACATAATTATTCACCGGCACTCATTCATCTCAACCGGGATATATTAGCAGATCATAGATGTTCTGCTAACCTTAAATCTCTAACAAAATTATAAAACTGGCAGATTGACTCACCAAAACACACTTTCTTTAATTCCTTTGCACTTTACTTTGCCATACAACTTTTACTCTACATATCTCTTCAACTAACTATGGTTACAAATTTTAAATGAATCTCTTTGTTGTTTTTTCTCTATTGCCAATTCAGACCCCTCTTTTTCTATCCCACATATTTAAGCAATTATTTATTTATGATATTCTTCTTTTTAACACTGTCTCATGTAAATGTGTATGGTTCTAAATATATTAATTGAAAAAGGGCACATGCCAGCATTGTATTGTTAAAATTAAAAAAGAGAAATAATAATAAATAAACATTACACATATGATTTCAAAATAAATTAAGAATAGAGTTAATAAACAATATTTTATTAAACAATACGATTAACTTACTTGAAGACTAGACCTCCTTAATGTTGATTCATTATTAGATCCAGGAATTTGATTACTGTCTTTGATTGGTAATGGTGGATTTCCATCATACTAACATAAAAACATCAATGTTTAACACAGATTTGAGATATATATTTTTTTACTTTTTTACATTATCAATACTTATACATTATTCATATTTATGTTTCATAAATATAATTTAATGCTTCAGTCAAATAATGTGTTCAATTATAATAAATTATCCTCTAACCTTTTAATATAATTTAACAATAGGCAGTTATCGATGGCAACCTTATATCGGGAAATTTCTATGCGCGCTCACTCTAGTTTTTGATCAAATTAGGCATTTATTCGAATTCTAATTGTTGGAATTTTGAAGTTTAGTTAAAGACAATATTATTGAAAACTTAGATTTTTCACAGCATTTATGCAGTATCCTGTGATAATATTGGTTTTTCAAATTAGAACCTTCGCCTTAATGCAAAATTGTGAATCAGGTGATTTTTTTGAAAATGTTGGAGTGTTGTATATAATGAAAAGTTTGTAAGTAATTCTACTTCAAAAGTAAGTATAAAAATCAATTAAATACTTTACAAGTAGAAAAGAGCTTGGTTGTTATAATTAGGTATGCAATTTAAAATATTGTTTTATAATTACTACTAAATCAAATATACTCAAATAAATTTTTTGTATTACAAAATTCTTATGGGCAAGTATTGCACTCAATCATTTTTGAAACAAATATAAATAATATCCTTTTAATAGACTATTATTCTTAGGTTTTTAAGTGAAATAACTCAGAAACTTTTTTTTCAAAATTAGATAACAATACGGCAACAATCAACATTTTCAGAAAAATTCTCTGATTCACAATTTGCATTAAAACAAGTATGGTTTCATTTTATGTAGGTATTTTCACAAGATACTACTTAAATGTTAGACAATCAAAATTTAAATTATGTAGAAATTAAATATAAAAAAGGGGCAAGTATATTTAAAAAACCACTTAGTCCATAAACAAAACAATATTCAATTTTCATGAGCATTAACGAAATCCATGTGTAGGCCACCTATGGCAACTTTTAGGTATTGAAAACTATAGGCTATAAATACTCTCAAAATATCAAGGAATGTGGTTTAAGATTTGTAGTCAATTAGTCTAGTAGTTTCTGAGATAACCAAGTGCTAATAAAAACAGAATCATCATTATATATTATTCCCAGTCGTTTAATAAAATATATTATATGCAGACCTTAAATAATAGTTTTGATTTTTCTTCTATTTATTTATTGTTACTGCCATGTGTAAGTGATAACCAAATACTACTTATTCATAATTCAAAACAATTGCTACGGAAACTATAGACAAAAACCATAGAGTGCTACTCGATATTTTTCCTATGCAAAAATCCTAAATGAATCATAAACATGTTTTTGTTTATTAAGTAACCATGATAAAAAATATCTTACAAAAAATCGGCCAGAAACAAAAAACATTTTTATGTTAAAACCATTTGACAACAAACATCTATTTTACAATGGCAACATTGCAAGAATTTACACTTACAGTTTTAGCTGAAAAGATATAGACTCAGGTAATCTTTGGAGGGGTAAAGAGACGGGCATATCAAGTACAAGACTCTTATAGTATAGTGTAATAAATAGATAGATAGATAAGAGCGCACATGAAAATATGCATATTCTGTATAGAATCTAATTATACCCACAATTATTTATCTTATTATAGTTTTTTAATTGATAAATCCAAGGTCTAAGAAATAGATTTGCAAATAACAGTCTCATGAAACAAACATTTAAATATTAAGCAAAGTTAAAATTTTGTTTTTTAGTTTAATGACCAATAGTTGCCTATATTGTCCAAACAGAATATCTATAATAGTAACAATTTTTTTTACTAATGGACTGTTGGTTTTTAAAATTTCAGATTGTAATTATATATCTTTTCAAGATATTAGTAATATATTATCTAGAAAACTATTATTTATTATAATATATCAAAATATTATATAGCTCACTTTTTGTACATATGGAACTGGAATAGAACCCATTTGACCCATTATATTCTTAGCTGTCCACCATTGTTCTTCGTCTTTTACAAGAATTGTCAAAATATCTCCTTTTCTAAATGGCAGATCATCTTGATCCTAAAGAAAATTTAAAAATGCATTTTAATATTGTATGTATTTTAAATAATTGAAATAAAATCTTACATTTCCAACGAAGTCATACTTGGCAACAACTTTTTCTATTGGTTTAACAGCAGGTTTCAAGAGAGGAGTAGTGTCAAGGTAGTGTAATTTATAAAATGCTAATAAACTTGGCAAATCAGCAAACATCTGATCACCAATTCGATATTTTGTTTCATTATTTTCTTGTATTTTATTGATAATATAGTGACTCACTTTGCTGTCTTCCCTGTAACATAAATATATTACTTATTAATTCAATAAAATCATTGTATAAACAAAGTTATGATCTTAATAAAATTAAAGTCCCAATAAATTATTTTATTTATATTGAGGACAACTGATCATCATTTCCATATACATTAAATAAATAAATAATTAATACTTCATTAATTTTATAATAATTTCATCAAAGAAAACTAAATTGTTTATAGTAATTAAATAGAATATGTATAAAATATTATAAAAGTTTATACAGCTTGATGACAACATTCATAAAGGAAAAAAATAATTGAAAAAACATTTCATTACTATTTTGGATCAGCTTAAGTTGCCTGATTGAGTAAATTCATTTTGTTTTATTAATTATATAGTTATATATGTTTATAATATTTACTGTATGTTTAGCAGCTTAGATATATGTAGCTATTATAATAAAATTCTTTTCATGTCTTAAAATAGGGATACAGGTCTTTAAGACTAGATTATTTTGAATATTTTTGTTTAAACAAATTGTAAATTATGTTGCATTAAACCAATTTTTGGAATTTTAATTTTAAGTAGCATAAAAATATAAAAAAAATAAAAATACTGAAAAATTATTGTTTTTAATATTAATAACAAGATAACGAGAAACATGATTTTCAAAATCTATGCTTCACAAGACCATGTAATTTTACTTTAGGTACTGTTTAAATTAAAAATATTATTCTGTAAAAATTGGTGATTTTTTATAAGCTATATAATTTTTTCAAGAATATTTTGAGCAGCATGGAATTGGCACTAGCTATCTTAAATAATTTATAAAGTACATACCTCACACATAACACATAGTCTCCTTGAATACTGAGACTGTCTCTAATTAAAAAAGTTCCACATTCTCGTTCACCCATTAATAGATCAGAAGCTTCAATACGTGACATTTGTCCAAAATACCAACTACAAAATAATCAATATAAATGTTTATAAAAAAATTTAAATGTTGGTACAACTTTCCAAATGTACCTGGCTTTGTTGTTTGGATCAAAACAATGTGCCGCCATATTAAAATTATTTTTCACTGATTACTACACAAATAAAGTTTGAAACAAAATAAAAGTAAAATCATAGTATTGTTTTTGATCAGCTTATATTTTATATTTGCATGGCTATTGAAATTCAAATCTGAAAAACAAACAAAATTATTTTAAAGAACATTATTTTTGGTAACAAGTGTATTATTATTTCTAATACTTATTATTAATAGGTATATTAATTGCTATGCCTTATTATTTTTCATTATTTATTTTTAAATTATTTATTTATGTACTATAAATATTAAATGCAATTATAGCAGACTTTCGGTAGTATTTTATTTTTATTTTTTTGTTATTATAAATTTTGTTGTCTTAAAAGCATTATTCGACATGAAAAAAAACACCAAAAACAAATTGATAATCTTTTTAAACCTGTCCAATCAAAACATTTATTCACAGTTTGTAATNTTAAATGAAAAAATTAAATAAATAATAATAATATAAATAAATGAAAAATATAATAATTTTATTAATATTCTGAATAATCTGAATTATCTGATGAATGTTGTGCGTCTTCGCAACATTTCTGGCAATACGTTACGGTATGTTCCTTACATATATAATTTTCACAGTTTTTACATTGCGTTTTTGTTTTTCTATTTTTTTTTCGATCACAGTAGTAACATCTTCCTTCACGAGCTGGTCCAGCGTTAGATTGTTCTATGTATTTTTCGCCCAAAATTGAAGCAATTTTTCGTTTTACATCTATTGGTAATGTCTTGATATTTGTACGTTGTTGTAAGTAGCCCATTGTAAGTTGCTTACCTAGTGTTTGTAAGAACTCACGTCTATTTATATTACAATTATTGTTCGCTTTGTATATAAGTTGGCTATTAATTCCTGCGATATTCAAAAGACTGTAAAAAATTGTAAGAGGCCAACGACGGCTTGTTCTAGCAACTGAATAGTTTCCTTTTAGCTCATCAACTACATCTACACCACCTTTTGTCATGTTATAAAATGTAATAATTTCAGGTTTATTATTGGAATCTATGGCATTATCATGGTGCATCGTAGACAGCAATAACACAATTTTATTTTTTTTTGGCACGTGTGAAACTAGTGTCATGTCTTTAGTAAATCCAAACATATTCGACTGTATAATTTTACCACGTGTATGACAAAAATTTGGAGGTATTTCCCTTTTGTTTTTTCTTATGGTCCCTACCATGGTTATTCTGTGTTTTTCCAGTAATTCAGTAGCTAGTGGTACTGAAGTAAACCAATTATCACATGTGACATTTCTCCCTGTTTTTGAAATTGGTTTTATGAGTCGCAATACAATTTCTTTCCCACTATTTACAACTTTATATGGTCCTTCTTCCTGCTGTCCACAATAAATTTCCATATTTAGGTTATAAAAAGTACGACTATCAACTAACGAGAATATTTTTATACCATATTTCGCTGGTTTATTTGCAATATATTGACGAAATCTACATTTTCCTCTGAACGACTCGAGCATTTCATCAACTGTTACATATTCACTAACTGTATAATATTTTTGACAACGATCAACAAATCCATCGAAAATGTTTCTTACAGGAGCTAATCTATCGGTTTTTATCCGAGTATTTCTAGAATTAACGTCATCAAATCTCAAACATTGTAATATAAACCGAAATCTTCTTATATTCATAGTCGCGTGAAAATAATCGACACCTAAGCCATCAGTCCTCCACAAATCACATAAATTTTGATGGGACGATCGTAAAGAACCAGATAAATATAGTAAACCTATTATTGCTTTCATCTCTATAATATCGGTATCTTTAGCATCTCTAACTCGTGCAAAATTTTCTCTTACTTTTTGAATTTTTACGTTTGTAAAATTGACTATTTCTGATATTACCTCATCAGGAAAAAATAACTGCCAAGAATCTATTATAGTTTTCGAATTTTTTGCAACACCTTTGACACCTGGTAAATGAGTTACCAAATTATGTGACCTAGTTCTACTATTTGAAGGCGGCATTTGTGCTTTCCACTTAGTCCCATCCTTTCCTAAATAATTCTGATCGCTAGATTCATTTTCATCAGACGATAATCCAGACTCCTCGGTACATGTATCATGTTCACTTTCCACGACAATATCAGAATCTAAGTCACTGTTACTAAAATCATCATCTGATAATATTTCCTCGTCTAAAGCATCAATTATAAATTGTTGATCCATATTACAATCAATAAAAAATTACAAATATTTTGAGTATGTAAAAAAATATGTAATACGCACTAGAAAACCACATGTATCGTGTGTCACGTCCAACTCATAAAAGAAAAATATAAACCATACGTCTGTGTATGAACTAAAACTGATACTTTTGATAAGATAAATAAAAGCCCGAAAATTATTTCTACCTTCATAATCAGTCTGGCAATGTTAGTCGTAATAATAACCTAACCGGCAATGTTAGTTGTAATAATAAAGATAATAACATCATTAGTCGCGATTTGGTCGAAATGACCGCAATTTATGATATCTCACTTTTATCTTAGTTTAATTTATGTATACGGAATTAAATGTACTTAGAATATTATTATATTATTTTTAATAACATTATTGAAAGGTATACTGAGTATCAATGGTTGAAATATAAAATATAAATGTTTTATTAAGCATGGAAAAAAAGTGCGGTCATTTTGACCATAGCGCGACTAACGCCGGGTTAAAAGCATTATTCGACATGAAAAAAAACACCAAAAACAAATTGATAATCTTTTTAAACCTGTCCAATCAAAACATTTATTCACAGTTTGTAATACATTGGTATGTATGCATTATTTATATGATTTAATAAAATAAATTTAAGTTTTTCAATAAGTAAAAATAAATTAATCCAGCGATTTTGTTAATCCTCTGGTCTGATATTTATCAAATTATCAAGTCTGCTGTGATATAATATGATATATATAACATTTCAAAGAAATATTCATATTCTTTGTCTTATTGACCAAAATAAATCGTAATTTGTTTTAAATATATTTAAAATACAAAACCAATTACATACATAACCTTGGGTATAACCTTTTATTATTGATTAAATAATGTATGCGATGCCCTATATTTTGATTAATATAATAAGTAGTTTGTCATTTCTTATTCAAAAACATAATCTATTGGTGATGCAGAATGATATCGTATAAGTATGTAGATTGTGTTAAATTGTTATGCATGGATGCTAGTTGGTATTTCAATATTAGATATTTGTCTATTTTTGTTATAGTATTATATCTCTATGTATTTTGTTTTAAAAGTAGATGTGTGAAAACTTTTTTTATAAGAGTAAAAAATCACCAATCAATTTATTTTGTACACAGTTATTGTTTATTATTTGATATCAATATGAACTGCATCATTAGTAACTATTAAGGTGAGAACACTTCTATAAAAATAGTCTACATTTAATATGTTTGTACGAAAAAAATCAATGTTCATTGTGAATATGTTTTATAACAATACAAAAAAACATGTATCCTTGAATATATCCAAACCTTTTTTGTAGCACCACTTTCTAAAATGTCTCAAAAAAAAAAATCCTTACCAATTACCTACTAATTCAAAAGAAATAAGTAATTCACACTGCTCACATTAACTTTTTTTTATACAGGAACACATTTGTTCACATTCAAGGAAAAAACAAACACTCATCCGGTTATATATTTTATAAATCTTTAGTTAAGACTTTGACAACCTTCCTATATATAATTTTCAAAAAAGTTTTTTTTATACGTACGTATTATTTAATTACATACATATACCTAATTAGATTAACAATAATAATAACATGAAATATATTAATCTAAATCCAATTAGTTTAATCACAGGGATACCAAATTTGTTACAATCCCCGTTAAAAACAAAACAGACAAATATGATGAAAAAAAATATTTAAAAAAATATTTGTTAGGTAAGTTATAGTTTGAAATTTGAATTGCCTTTTTTCCATAGTTATTAATCTGTATAACAATTAATAATCATAAAAAATTGGACTAGTATGGACCACTTTGCTATACAGTAGATTACGAGCATACATCACATTGAGTAAATCCCTGTAACGGATATATTAAATTTGAATAAAATGATAAAGCAGTACATACAAAAAACGATTCCGACCAGCCAAGCACAGATGGTATACCAATAATGACAAGAATATTTTATGGTATATTTATATTGCTATAAGGTCCTTGCTAATTTATTTAATTTACTATTAGTAATATAGCACCTAGGTTAAATAAATTGTTACCAATAACATTGTATGTATTATAATATAAATATTTAATTATTATACCTATCAGTAGTAAATTATGTAAATTATAATATATTATTGTTATTCAATACTGACTTACTGTTGAACGGTGAGAAATGGTTTGTGGTGTAAATCAACAATAGCTTATAATTAATCCAAATAGTTTGGAAATTTCAATGTATACAAAATATAATCATTTACATACGTAGCTAAGTAAAAGATTGAATTTCTTACAAATAATATTTTGGAATAATTAAAAATTTGCTCGTTACTTTTCATTTCAATATATTAACAAATACCTTGGGAAAATGTTTGAATAAAATAAACAAACTAATGTTGTTATTTTGGACGGGTTATAAAAACATTTTCTCCACTATTACCACTAATCACTATAAATTTAACTAGAAAAAATTGTCTTATTAAACAGACGATTAAGTACCTAGTAATGAAATAACAATATTTCAATTGATCGTCAACTGCATGTATAATTTGTATCCTTTGATAATAACCCATTCAAGTAATTTATTGGGTTACATTCATAGAGTAATAATATATTTTACATGTTACATTAGGACTATGATTTATTAGTATTACAATGTTAAGCTTACCGGCCAACGTGAATCTTCCTGGAACAATATGATACACAGTCATGCCATGGCAGATAACTCGGGCGTAGAACGGATTTTAGACAACGACAGACTATGGTTTGATAACTCTGATTTCGTCTAAGGTACGTAGTGAAGAAGAAAGAAATCAAAAACCTTGAGTACCCACCGAAAACGCACCTAACCCAACAGCGATCGACGCACACTATGTGCGAAGTAAACAACGCCGATTTAGTGTTCAAAATGACGATAGAGCGGCGGAAGTTCTGTTGTTAAAAATCGAATAGTTAGATATAACATAGATAGTTATGATGTATAATATGCACGTATTCTGTTTTTGAACACCGTCGTCGCTCGTTCAACACAGTTTTTAAATAAAATACAATAATACAGTCACGAAAACGAAACGCATAAACGCCGCATTAGTTGTAGCCTGTACGTACCTACGATTCCAAAGTCTGCTGTACTATCATCGCGCAATATAATAATAACAATCATCTGTCGGTGTTGTACGAGGTACACAAGGTCTACCTCCTCCTCTATCACCACCAGGTCATCACCCTGCTACTACTACACCATCGCCGACAATCGTTAAACTTAGTTTATCGCAAAGATAACAGCAGCACGAGTGTTATCGACGTCTTTTCATCGTCGTCCTCACTGACAAAACCGGGAAAACAAAATAATTAAAAATAATGGTGTTATGTAGGCACTTATTTGAGATGTAGGTATACGATTTTAGATTGTAAGCGGAGCGATTAATGTGTTAATTTTACAATGCTCGTTTTTTTGCGTCTGTCATCAAATTTTTGGACAGTAAAAATGCGTCGAATTCCTTCAACAGAACCTTTTCTGATAGGAAAATCTAGTTGCTACTTGGTACCGCTAGAAAAAAATCCAATTTTATTCAAAAGAGCCAGAAAAATCATAAAAATTGTTGTTTTTAAGAAAATCGATTTTTTTTTTTTTTGGGTCACTATAAAAAAAATTACCGCAGATACATGACATTTTTACTGAATGTTAATAATAAAATTTCCTATAGACCTATACGCTATACAATATACAATTTTCAAAATATTCTGAATCATGTTGAGATTTTTATAGGCAAATTAAATTTTCGATAATAATTTTAGATTCTGAGTGGAGCGATGGATGTATTGATTTTACAATGATGTGTGTTTTTATATTTATTTACTTATTTTTTGTTTTTGTATCTGTCATCACGGTTTCTTGAAGTAAAAGTGCTTCGATTTTCTTCAACAGCAACTTTTCTGGTAGGAAAGTGAATGAAGTTGGTGTATTTGGGATGTAAAAATTTTAAGTTCCCAATAGTTTTCAAAAATGTCAGGAAAAACAAACAAAAAATTAAGTAAAAAACTGAAAATTTTACTCAAAACCAGTTTTTGAAAATACCGATTTTGGCGTTTAGTGTAATAGTCTAACAATCAACAAAAATGACAGTAGATACATGAAATTTTCACTGAACATTTGTGTTAGCATTTTCTATACACCATACAATTTTCAAAATATTTTGACTTGTGTTGAACTATTTATAGCCGTATGCAATGTTCGACTATTATTTGTTTTTTTAAACTAATGTCAATTAAAAATTTTCGCTCGTTGCAAAAACTTGTAAATATAACACAAAGTTCTTCGTAAGTTGCTGTTAGTGCGAACTAAAAAAAAAGTTGATCGTAAATCCACAATAATTTTTTATGAGCGTTTAAACTTTTTACGAAAATTAGCAAATTATATTTAGTTAGAAATTCATAGAAATTTTTCTTTTTGCATACAAGATTTAAAATGTAATACAAGATTCATAATAAGTTTGTATACCATTATTAAAATTTTTTGTTATTTTTTACAGACATTTTAAGTTCAAATTTGGATAAAATTGCATAATAACACAAAGAATAACGTTTATCATTTTGATGTAATTCGGTTTCAAAACAGCCCATTTTTGCATAGGTATATTTAATATTTTTCCAGCATCACTGATTATTTAATAATCATATTAATTCAACTTACCGACTACCATATTAATAAAAAGTAGATAATAACAATATAAAATATCCTAAACTGATATACCGTCTCCGGTCAGAATCGTTTTTCGTATGCATTGATTTGACAACATTGAATTCAACTGTAATACCAATTACCATCCATTACAGCGACCTCTTAGACTCCTAATGTACAGCAGAGCGATATCCACGAACACCCTTTTTAAAAAATTAATGATGACAAAAAAATGTTCTCTCTATTAAAAACTTGGAAATATAAATTATAATAAGTACAAGGTTGTTGTTAGTGGAATGAAAATAATTTGAGCGTAAATTCACACATTTTTTGTGAGCGTCAGGAATTATATAATATAAAATTCAAAAATTTTCTTTTTATATCTAATGTTATTATTAGTCGTGGTAATTTCACCGTTCTGATATATTAATCGCCAGCGGCATATGCAACTATCGGGAAACAAAAAACGTTGTCTATGATAACTGACTTAATGGGTTAACTTTATCGGCATGTCACCGGACGGCGATCGATACAAATCATGCCAGGTGAGGTTATCGATAAACGGAGCATAAAAAAAATAATAAAAATCTGGATTAGCATTGTAACTTTTCTTTTTGTTTGTCGTATTAAACACGAAATTGACGCTGATATGAATTTAAAAAAATGTAATTAGGTACTATACAATTTGTGTTAATTCTTATTACGCCTTGATCTAACTACAATAGGTAACAATTTTGGGAATTTTAAAAATATATATTATATATATGTACTTATCTGTAGGTTTATTATTATATATTTTACTCGATATCACTTCGATATCGATCTGTAACAATAAAATGATGATTTATATTATTTTGCTATTAGTATTCAATAATCAAACACTTTTTCTTTCATATCCCGACATCCAGTTACATTGGCGTTGGACGATCTGAAAGTTAATGTCATAATATAGCTGTACCTATTGGATTATTGGATAAACCTTGAGTAGTTGGTACACCAATTCTAATTGTTGACTTAACCTTTGTCCACTTTTAAATATTTAGAAAAACCATTTTTGTCAATATAAATTCAAAACCCATTAGCCCAGGGGCATCATGGGGGGGGGGGCAAGAGTATGCATTTGCTCAACCCTAGATTTTAAAGTAGCCAAATGGGCCGGTGGCCCACGGTGGTCTAAGCGGGCCGGGTTTTCTATAATCAATATAATCTTAAATCTACTGACTGTGCAGCTAGAATATACTACATAATATAAAAATAGAAATTTGTGGTATATCCATAGACCTTATACTAATACAAATATATTAATTAATACGTTATTATTATTATTATTCTATTCTATGGAACTACATTCGTTAATAACGATTGTTGAATTTTTCATTTTGAATTTGATTTGACTTAGGTTAGGTTAGGTTAGTGTGTACTGTGTTTGACTAATAATTAATTTTTTAAGTAGGTACCTAGTGTCTTATAGAGCCCTGCCCGGGCCGTGCTTGGTGTCACCGAAATCGGGTTCGGGATGGCTTGGCCCTTCACTTCAGTATTAGTTGTTCGGGCAGGTCTTCCTTTATATTTTATAATATTAATTGATAAATGATTTCATTTAAATTTAATTTATCATTTGATTTCTATTGACAAAACAAATTACCGATAACCAGAAATTCGGAAATACGTATTTTACAGTAATCTATTTATAACTGTAGGAATACTATTCTTCTTCGAAGGTAGTCCGTATTCTATAATCTATACTCAGATATTACTTTACACAATTTAAGTACTAGATAATACTTGGTAGGTAATAATTATATTGTTATTTTTACAAGACTATCAAAAGGAAAAGTGAAGAATTTTTATTAGTAAAATTGTATTTTGGATTTGCTTGGACTTCAAAAGTTAGGCCCGTGCAGGCTCTAGTGTCTTAGTGAAACAGTTGTGGTACTTTAATGCACATTTCATTGGGAAACTATCATTAATATTATACAAATATTATTAATTATTTGGTTTTCAGAGTAAACTACATTGAAGATTATAATAATATGTTAATATGAGTTATGATTAGGTATTTATGTTTTAATAAGTAATATGTTAACAAAATCGGCTACAGTTTGTGTTATATAAATTATAAAGTATAAAAATAATATTTGAAATAAAAATTGGGCTAGGTAGCGAGAGGAGCGAGCTCCTTTTTTCATATATACTTAAAAGTGTTAAAGTTATAGGGCCAGTCATTATTGTGCCCTACCCTATCAAATATTGAAATGACGCCCCTGCATTAGCCTTCCTATAATTATACACAATTATGATAAAATAAGCTAAAAGAAAATAAGAATATTAGTTATTTCAGGTAATCTTTTTCATGTTAATCCATGAGCTGTATTACTCACTATTATATCTATTTCGTTTACAACCTAATCCTTGCATTACTCCTTTTCTTACGTACGTTATGTAGTTTAAGGTCATAAATACAAAGTGTTAACCAAAGAAAAGAGATTAAGCCGTATCTATTAAAAATAATCTTAAGATCGTGAAAAAAAGTGAAAACTAGCCGGCCAAAAGGTAGACAATACCCTATAGCAGCTGATAGAACGCTTTTGCTGATACAGCGCATATACTATATGACAGTCAATTAAAAAAATGTTTAAATCATTTGTAGCTTTTATAGAAGGTATCACTAAATATCTACAGATAAACCATAGAGTATAGACGATAGGTAGTTAAATATTGAATGGATGAACATAACAAAATATGTTATGTATAAATAATAAAATATCTTGATAATAATAATTATTAATTATTATTATTAATAAATTAATAACAAAACTGAATTAACTACAAAAAAAATACATAAAAAATGGGGTATTTATGAAAACCCTTTATCCGACTCGGCCTAAGTCCACCAATCTCGAAACCATTGTTTGAATTAGTACCCAGCAGCCTCAGCTGCCCAGAAAGCACTTTATACAATCTCAACGAGAGTCAGGATCTCCCCCAAATTTTGTAGAAGAATCTCAACGTGTTTTCTCCTCCCCTCAATTACGACTCCTCTCTCCAAAAGGTCTTCAAAGATATTTCCTCGCCGAATATCCAAAATATCTTAGACAGCAGGAGGGTGACAAAAGCGTTCTCAGAACTCTGCACGGAGTCCGTCACAGTTCTGGCAGTTAAAGAGCGAGCCCGACCTTTAGGGGCAATGCATGCACCATGGGGTGGCAGCTCTGCCCATGTGGTGTAGCTAATGTTGGAAACACTCATGGCCCGTTAGCACCTGAGTCATGTGATAGGTCTACGGGACCTTTGAAGACATCTCATTTTACCATCTTACAATGATCGGAAAGAGACGGTGAGTCCAAGAAGCCTTGGTGGAGAGAATTCACCCCCTATTTGATTGAGGTTTTCCTCTTTTCCTTCTTCATTTTGGGGACAAAGGATCGCCTGGTGGCCTCGATCCTGTCTTCCTCTGCA